CACAATCAGCCACCTGAATCAGTCTGTATCGCGCGTCACATGGTGTAGATTGCGAGCCAAACTGAGAGAGCGGGAGAGGGCCGGCCCAGGTCGCCGCGGTGGGCACTAAAACGCAGCGGGAAGGCGCCCAATTACCGGTCAGCTGCTGTGCGTATAGCCCTGCACCGCTCCGGGCGGCGACTCGGCTGGGAAACTCTGCCGCCCCTCACCGCACCGGCCGGCCCCACAATCTGGGAGGCGGTGTTTGAAGTATGAACGGTATCAAGGAAAGGCGTACGTATATCGCGTGATGAATTGTCATTTTAAACACGCAAGACATCTTACATAATTTGTAACGGTATTTTGTAATGTATAATTGTGACGTTTAATGATTTTAGCAGAATCTATCCATTCAGGTACTGTTCCATTCAAGGGCCAATATGCACATAAAAGGAACATGTCCGACTCCCTATTATACCTACTTGGTTTTACTGGCAAATCCCTTGCCCCTTCTAAAAAAACTGACGTCAAGAAAAATCACTCGACCTCATGTGACTTGATTTGACTTTACATATATTATACTTCTGGGTTGGAACTGGAAGTATGTGCCCCTACGGCCTACACCCAGAAACCTCCCGTGAGTGATTGAACTCAGCAGTCCAGTAGTCCAGTCTGTACCGCACAGGCCGGGCTGAACCACTCCCACTCCTAGGGCCCGGATGATGATGCGGTATAGGACGCGTAGCAGCTTGGCCCAAGCGTCCAAGCCAGGGCCCGGGGTGAACCGACGGCAGACATTTCAGGGCGACGCGCCTCAAAGCACCGACGCCGGTTCACTCTCCAGCGGCCACTCACCCCTCAGATCGATACGTCCTCGTCAGCGGCGTGCCGTCTGAACCGGGCTCAGCAGAGCGGCCACAGACAGACGAACAGCTGGGGTGAGCGGCTGACACAGCCCTGCTTCAAACAGCTGACGGTGAGCGAGCCGCGTGTGCAGTCTGTCCCCACGGCACCACACTCCTGCACCGCTGGCAGTGCGCCGCCGACTGACGGCCGGCCGGCCGCCGCCGCCGACCGCGTATTCTGGGCCGCCGGCTGTGACCCCCCCCCCCCCTCCCCGCCCCAGATGGGGGGGGGCTGACGCACGGCGGCACAGGGGCATCCCAGGTCGGCGGCAGGGCCGAGCGGCAATCGCGCAGGAGTCGGTGGCGGATACGAGGGGGGGCGGGGGCCTCATAATTGGTAACCGAGTGAGGCCAATACGCGTGCCGTATGTAAAACGAGCCCAACCAAAGTCAAAGTAAACGTTTCAAATAAAAGACAATCACCAATATGTGGATTCATTGAAAAGAATAATGTTACCACTATCAGCAACTAAAAACCCTGGCTGTTGCTTGTAGTCCTGACTTCAATTGTTCTATCGGGAAACTCCGAGCTGTGAGTAGAATGTAAAGCCAAACTTCATCGAGCCGGTAAAGCTCGACACGGTCTGTTCCACAGACTAACCAACTGTAACTATTAATACCATAAACCATTGCAACGAAACCATAACCCGAATCACTAGCCTTCTGTCTGAAATTGCAATTACCACAGATCTCGATCGCTGATTGGGCCCACAGAAAAAAAAACAGCCAAGAAGGCAGCAGGTCAAACCAGCTTTAAAAATGCACACTGCCAATTACAAGATTATCAGACGTGGGCTGCCGCCGCTGGGCACAGAGCTGTAACTTCAGAAGCCATTATCGTCCAGTTTCCTTTCCCATTCTATGATCAGAATTCAAATGTCGGACTCGTAGGCATATTGACCCAAAATGCATGCAAAATACTATAGGCTACGACTGCCTACTTTCGGGCAATCTAAGGGAATAAATTATAAAATGCACTTCTCATCATGAAAATAAAAGCACTTTATACGACTAATCAGAAGACTAGAGAACAAATGCCTTTTTACTACATGGTGCATGGTGGAGTGAAAAGGCAAAACAGAAGATGGGAAAAAGGCTGCAGACCGAGCGGACTTGGAGCCGGACGCATGGAGCTTGATGTTGGACCGTAACTAAGCGACCGTATGGAACGCACAGGATCCTGGGAGATGCGTCAGCGCGGCGGCCGGAACACACTGTTGTGCTAACGAGCTGAGCGGCCAGAGTCGATCACTGTATGTTTGTGTGTGTATGTCACAAATGACTGTCCGTCACCCGACCGTCGCGGGAGGCAGCGACTGTCGCGTGTCGCATGTCACCACCTCCTGCTGTCAAAACATCCAGAAACGGCGGTACGATCAGTAGCACCTCACAGACCTCAAACAGAGCGATTCAGGCCAGCGATGACTATAAGTACGGAGTCGGAGCCGGAGTCGGAGTTGGAGTGAAGGCTACCGAAAATTCAGCGACTCCGCAGTTCTGCCAGGGCTGCAAAATCGGAATCGGAGTAGGTCGTATTCGACAATTTTTCCGGAGTCGGAGTGGGAGATGGAAGCTGGAGTCGGAGTCGGTACCAGTCATCGAAAATCCATCGACTCTGCAGCCAGCTGGTCCCTAATACAGCACTTCAGGTCAAACGTACCACCCAGAACCTCAGTTTTCACGGCAGATTTAACAACATTTATATTAGGTACCTATCTCTAAAGGTGGAACGTTAGTCAGTGAAGTCACGTCCCGAAAAACGAGATCATGATTTGATTTATCTTCATCAGCAGCTATAATTATCGATCTCTTCGATCGTGTCGAGTCCTTGTCATCCCCGGCTCATCTCCGTTCTCAGATCCCTGCTCAATGACGTCCAACCATCGATCGCATTGATTCCAACAGTATTGACTGAAGTGGGCGGACGGATATTTCGTGTGGCCCAGTCAACAACTGATGAAGCCGTCGGGGGAGGGGGAGAGGAGGGAGAGAGAGAGAGAGAGAGAGAGAGAGAGAGAGAGAGAGAGAGAGAGAGAGAGAGAGAGAGAGAGAGAGAGAGAGAGAGAGAGAGAGAGAGAGAGAGAGAGAGAGAGAGAGAGAGAGAGTCCGGTAAAGGACGGCGTACGCCCATGGGTCACAAGTCACAAGTCACAACTAGCATCATGCATTCCCCGTGCATGTTTCACATCACGTTTCCGGACGCTGCCTGAGGCCGCGACAATCTTCAACATAGGAAGCCGTGGGCTGGGCTGTAATACGAACCGCTGGAGCAGGGACAGTAATATAGGCTCAAACGCACACCGACTGCGAACTGCGACGCACAGTGAGCGAGCAGGGAAATCCAGCTAAGACCATTACGATGTGCCGGTCTGCAGTCCCCTATAAGTCCCCGAGCAGTAGGTATCCAGTCTCCTATTACCGATCTGGTGATCGGTGACCAGTGATCATTACTGGCGACTAGTAGCGTCTTCCGATACTAATCTGAACCTTCTTAGGTGTGCAGCGCCATTAGGGCGACGATTTACTGGAGATAAGAGGGATGATTTGGGCACTTTGGGAACAACCGAGATGCAAACTCGCCAGTTTCTGACATTTAAAACAAAGGCTAGCTTGCATCAAACTTTCAGACACCAGCTTGCTCAAAATATTACAATAAAAAAGTAAACATAAACTGGCCCAGGGCAAAGCACTAAATTGTGAAATAATGTAAAACGCACTTTTATTAAACACATGTAGCAATTGAGCATAATTCATTAATTTATTTGCTACATAGGTCATTGGCAAACAACAAAAACTTCATGAAAAACATCCTTGTAGCTCCCTTTAGTTTAGCATGGACTAAATCAGAATGGCTTGCTACTTGCTAGGCAGCAGATAAGTAGGTACAATAAGTATAGAATGTGCCTTCCATTTCAATCTTATTCCATTTCAGGACAGGAAGTCCAGAACATTTTCAAAATGTTTAACTACAAACCTCTGAATTAGTCTCATGATGATGATAGGCATCACAAATCCATAGCCTCCACCACTGATAAGGCTGATTGTTTGGTGGATATCAAGCTGTAATTTGTATTTGAGCAGTAATCGCCACACACTTTGTATGTGGATTGCTCTTAAAGGGACCCTCCCACCTTAACATTAGTTTTGAGTTGAGATAGCCAAATTGGTGGCCATGGCCTGAAAATACCGGTTTGGACACTCACAACATCGAAAAATGCTTTAATTCGGAGATATGGAATTTCAAACTTGCAGTTTTCGGATTCTAAGGGGCTAGTGCATTGGAATGCCCCCTTAGAATTTGTGACGTCAGCGGAGATCTAACGATTTTTTTAATCTTTTACTAAAACGTTTGGTAGCACGCGGTGGTATATGCTGCTTTGCGCGCAACAAATGCCGCACTTTCAAATAAAGTCGCCAGGAACAGCGGAGATCCCAAAAAGTAAACAAAAGTAAAAGTCTAATATCTTGAAAACCGGTGAATATTTTTCGATGAAATTTGGTAGATATTCGTTTTCACTCTTTCTGAACCGAGCGACATCACTTTCATGCCAATTCATTAACTTTTTTGAAGGTGGGAGGGTCCCTTTAAATGTAAATACAAAATACAAATACAAATACAAGCATGTCAGCAGCAGGGTCATTATACTGATACGTCAGTAACTGCTTGGTAGTAGCAAGTTCAGCAGTAGTATTATGCATGCTGATACCCAGTGATACGTAATTCAACTCCGAAATGTGTATTTAAAATGAAAAAGTAATCTGAACATTGTATATTAGTTATTACAATTCAGATTGTTTAGGTAGGTATCTACGACCTACTTATTTTTGAAATAATATGTCAGTCAAACTCAACATTTTTCCTTTCCACTTTGCATTAGTTGTCACCTATTCAATATTGATTAAATGAAACATGCTATGTAGGTTTTTATTTACTTTGACTTATTATATCAATAATGATAATGGCTTCAAGAAGATTTAGCATCCACAATTCACAAACCACCACTGCCCACCAGTTGCAGTGAGATATGCAGATAGGTGCCTAATGCTGAAGGTAGCCCATCAAGCTGAAACAAACCTAGATAAAAGCTGAAAAAGAAAAAAAATGAATGAACTTGCCTGGTAGTGGAAATATCAAGCTGAAGTGCGGAACCGGGCGATGATCATGGCAATTCAAATTTTAATTGGCATCTTCGTCCGTTTTTTACGTAATTTCTTCGCTTCAACGGTCAAACTCAGGCTCACTATACGAACATCCAGAATCGCACAATGTGCAAAGCGTTGAATTGTTATTTGAAATTTACTAATATTTTAAATTAACATTAAAAACTTGCGAATTTCAACCCACGGTCCACGGGTCCACTCTCCCGCGCCGGCGCTTAGCACTGCGTCTATTTTGCCTTTGATGCGCAGTATTTGTCTCTGTATTCCCACGAAACCTGCGACTAAATTTTATGCGCGATAATTAATGCTTTGCACTTTCACCATTTTGTCATATATATAGGAAACCATTGACTAAGTTTTGCAAGATCTTGGTGAAATACTTATTTATCCTTGATAGTCGACTGAAAATCCATTAAGCTGGAAATAAAAACAATCGATTTCGGATGGTGTTAAAACGATTCAACTGTCAGGTAGAACACCGTCAAGCACAGTCCGAACATGATTTTTTAACTGAACGAAATAATACACGAGTGCACTCATGCAGCCCATTCAGAAGTCAGAACAAAACATAACAGACGGCGAGTGAGTCGCTCGGAACAGCATTCCTACTCAAAGGCTCCTGACGAAAATATCATGATGGGTTAGCTCCTGTGGGCCCCAAGCAACGTAAAGGAGGGATGACAGCCATTATGTCAGAGGGAATATTACGGGAAATTCTATTTCGCCAGCTGCGTCTCACTGCCTCACGGTTCATGACCCAGTGCCTATGATGTAATGACTGAGTGATATCACTACACGTTCGATTCGTCACACTTGCATTACGTCTGTCCTTTCGTGTCTGTCGGCTTCTTTGCATAAAGCTTCTTTTGCATTGCGCACGATTGTTAGGGTTGCGGTTAGCTAATGCTCAAAGAAAGATATTACGTCGAGTAGGTGCGATAATAGTCACTACACTAAGGAAACAACCATGGTTCATACAACTTCACCAGCCTGCGTGAAAAGGGCACCGAAGACTAAAGGAATGGATCGGACATCGGACATGAGGCTGGGCACGTTAGCTGTGCTCCCCTGCCTGGCAAAAGCGGGCATGAATGGACGGAGTAAATCGACCAAACGAGATGGTGGCCAACAGTTCATTAAACACTTATCGTAACCGTGGATTCTATCAAAAGTCACCTCTAGTAAATATGGTTTGACGGTCAGGATTTGACCTATAAGTCGCAAAAAGTCAGGCAGACCGTGGGATGTGGGTAGAGGCGCCGTAAAGCCCATGCATATTGCGTAATGCCTGGGAAGCTCCCTGTTACATTATCTACATAGTACACTCTACACAGTGGCGGCATACCCCTCACATGCAGCAAGAAGTGCCAACGACATATTCACATCCGCTCGCATGATGAATCTTCTGGCTTCCTTCATGCATCGGTGTAAGCATCAGGCATATGCTCACGGAATTCGTCCACTCCCTTCCGTCCGGTCGCGGCTCACGACAGTGGGTCACGGATTCCTCACAGCCACCGTCACATCTCTGCCACCCATCGCGTCGCGTGCATTTTATAGTGCATCTGATCCGGTGACGTCACACAAGAAATACAGGCACACATAATCGTTACACCATCGTCGCCGGCCGCTGGGCTTGAGTGCTTTACAAAGAAACCTCATGACATTAGCACGACACAAGGACGCTTGACGCTAGGCTGACCTGGCGGCCGGCGACACTCCACGAACCGCGAGTGACTCTTTTCACCTAAATCTACGCGTAACCAATGCGTTTGGGAAATAGTTATGTACCAAGATTACTTTGTGCATGCGTATTTGCATTTTTCGTTATTGTACGAACACAAAACAAACTTAATGGGCATCACTAAAACGAAACTTCTGATGGAACAGCTTGTAAAAGATGAAATCACACGACGTTTCCTCGCATAACGGATGCAAAGATAACCTTTATAAATGTTCCAAGTATAGGATGGTTTCTGGTTGGACAGTAGTCTGATCGAGCTCGACTCCATGTCTATTTGCCTCCTTGTATCCAACAAGGCAATGATGAATTCAGATTAGTGCAGTGAGACAGCGATGCAATGTCCAGTCAGCATCACCAGACCACCTGTCCATGTAGGAGTCGCTGGACAAATATGCAGGAAATCGGAAACGAAGAGAGCCGGACGCCGCGAACCGACAGCGTCCATAGCCTGAGCCCTGACGACAACACAGAGATCTGTTGAGCCGACAGGAAGCCACGACAGGGTTTATCACTAACGTCTTACTCCAGTTAAATCAGATGTATGATATGCAGCTACACGGTGATGGCTTTGGAGGTTTATGGAAGCACGCACGTCTGTAACAAAGGTTCCATATGACGGCATGAAGTTCCGGTTATTTCATGACAAGTTCCACGTGTATGATACCTACCGCGACAAGGTATATGACTTATTCAACATGAGTTCAGGCAGTCCCAGATCAGCTATGACTTGATGGGGATCAAATACTTTGTGTTAAGGTTGTCGTTTGTCATAGGACGATCACGTCCGCCACAGACATAATTTTACGTCATCCAGCAGCCTATGCCCTAAACTTCGACTGAACAGGCTAAAAAGTGAAAAGTAAACGAGTGGGAGAATTCAATCAGCAGACTTATTTCAATGTCATCTGATGAGCAGACAAAGAAAAGGAGCCACCAGTGAAGCATTTCGTCGTTATTTGGTCAACACTTCGAGTTATAATCGTGAAGCAAATTACTAAAAAAAAAAACATCCAATTACACAATGTGCCATGTATTCATATTACACTATCAGAGGTATCTTGGCTGCATTGTCACCCTACCCTCGTCCCTGAAAAATAAAAACAAACCTCACAACTGGCCACTCAGCCTCTAACAACAACAGGGTACCCACACTTATCAGCCCACATACTAAAACAGACATATAAAATCGTTCATCTCCGCCCTAATCCGACACCCTCGACCAACCCGCGGGCAGGGGCGAAACCGTTCGTTTTCCGTTCACTTTCGGCGGCTGCTGAGTCCCCGTTTTGCGCTACCTCTCCCTCCACTGTTTCCCCGTTTTCCGCCATCACCGACGTATCGTTCTGCTCCACCGCTCCCTTCACCAGTCTGTCCTGGCCTACCGTTCGCTCCTCCAGCCCCACTGCACAGCGCTGAGAGTCGGTCTCGGGGCCGTGCTGCCCGTTTGCCGTCCCACCCGACGTGTCCTTTTGCAGAGTGAGACTGTCGCCGCTCTCAGTAACGGCGGGCACCGGCTGTCCAGCGGACACCGCCTGTCCAGCGGACACCGCCTGTCCGCCGGACACAGGGGACACCAGACCGATGTCCGCGGGCAGGCCGCTGATCCCCAGACATATACAGCAGGTGAGGGCAGAGCCCTGCTCGGCGAACTTCTTATTCTTCTCCCTGAAATAAGGCGGAACGGTGAGCGACGGCGCCGACATGACACACAGAAATGATCTGGTTGGAAGTGACCAAACATAAGTGAATACTACACATAACTTTGATGTAATGCTGCGGTAAACGCCAACGGAAAACGTCAAAAGTTTCATTAGAAAAGGACAGATGACGGCTGAAAGACAAAAGACAGAAAAGAGACCCTGACGTTTTGTCGCTACGGTAGTCTGAGCCGAGGCTCTGATGATCGTTCCATCAGACACTGGCGTGGCGGCATGGCCAGGGGATGAGGCACGGTATGCCTTGGCACGCTGGGAAACTTCCCGTCCCACACCCGGCGGCTCGGCGCTCAATAAGAGTCGTGTTTGGACAGACGCCCGTTACAGCCCTGTCCTAATATACAACGCTTCGGGCCGGCGCTGGTTACTTATCACGATGGTCGGCACACAGATTCCACGTAATAAGGTCATTGGAGTCTGAAAAAATATTTGACGTAATTACACAGCTTTTTTCCTGACGTGCCAATAAATGTTTTTATTGAAAAAATAGTAACAAAGTATTGCTAATAAATTGCAAACGCTAAATTGGTCCCAGCCAAGTAAATGAGAGAAGCAATAGGAGTTGTTTTGTTACCCATCATAACGAATATCGTTTTAAGTGAAGCGCCTGATTTATCATCGCCACTAAAAATAATTCAAAAATAGCCCTCATGAATAGGGTTTAAATGTGATTTTCCAAACATTAGGCGATAAAGCCCGGCACACGCTGAAACAAATCCAGCATTAGCTGCATCATCGTCGTGAAAAGACGCGGAAGGAAAACGGCGCTGAGGTCACATCAGGTGCCGCCATCGGCATCGTGTTCAGCGGCAAAAAATACTGACGTCACGCGCCTACCAGTGACGTCACGACACGCACGAAGGGCGATGATGTAAATTGTTGACACATAATAGCGGCGTCTGAGCATTATAGCCAAATCATCGCGACAAATTAGCCTTATTAGGAGTTATTGTGTCCAGCGAATTAGTTCCGCATATGAGAATTTCAGCACGCGAGCGTATGATAAAAACAATGTGCAATTAATTAGTAGTACCGTATATGACGTATGTAAATTGATCATTTTACCTAGAAGGCACTATTGTGACAGCACCGAATGGGGAAGACCTTGAATTGGTGGCCCGTGCCAGCCATAGCGAAAACTGGACCCGTTTATCGGCCAATTTCCTCCAGTTCCGACAGGCCTAAAAATCAAATTGCAGAGTTCGACACCCTGGTAGAGCGAACTGACGGAAGGTGCCAGTATACTAAATACAAACACAGATTTGAGCAAACACCAGTCTGAGGGTAGCCCATGACGGGAAAATCTAGGTTTCTGATGCCATGTATGTTTACCCTCTCCAGGATCGGTCACTGCGCATCACACAGGTCCAGAGAAGCTAGTCGTTGTGTTTTGACTGTTGAGCCCTTGTGCCTGTACTTACTCAGTACACAGCACACGTTTGTTGTGTACTGAGTAAAGGAAGCACCGACAGACGCCACGAGTCTCATGCTCATAGTTCGGCACTTTGGCCATAACTGCGCCATACCAGTCGCCAGTGCGCCAATGATCGTTACACCACGGGATCACCAGCGCCCAGTGACGAAACCTGGAAACCGGCACACACCGAGCGCCCGCACGCGGAGGACACCCAATACGAGGCGCAAACGGCGAGTCCGCGGCGGCACTCGATCACGTGACCGTGACGTCATGATGCAGAGTACGTCATCTTCGCCGGCCTTTTTAGAGCACATGACCAGTACCGACGTTGAAGTTCGGAGAAATCCACGCTGACTAGCAAACAACGGGAATTCCACGTTGCGAGCCTAAATCATCGACCGAGGAAGGTAGGTACCTGGTGTCAACCATGAACCAGTATCGAAATCAAAGAAGCAGCGCAGAGGCCCATGGGTGACATGCGCAGTATGACCGGCCGCTTTCACGGTCATCGACGGGAATTTAGATCGGTACCGGGTAATCCACGCTCAACAGCCTAAATGGTCGCAGACGATTCGCGAAACCCTGCTAGTAGCGCCAAAAGGAAACAGGAAACTGAGTAGAGAAGTTGTACTATGATTGACCACGGCGCATGACGGCAAGGCGTCTCGATCCGGAGACACCAAAGCCAGCAGTGGACGGGATGGCATCTGACCCTTACAATTTTTCATCACAGCGTGGGGAATCAGGGGAGAACGGAAGGGGCACGATATCAAAGTTCCTAAGGCTGAAACAGTCTTTCCGCGTTCAGGAAATCGCATGCGAGAGCCTATTTAAATACATTATAATTCTTCCGCATCAATCGCGCCCTGCGAAAGGTGCGTGCGATTGATGCGAGCGTGCTCCCATGTATTTGAATAGGCTCTTGCACGCGATTTCCTGACCGCGGAAAGAGTCTGTTTCAGGTATAACACAGCCCGGGACAGAAGGAGCACGAATTTCAGCTCCGTATGGTCGGTACACTCACCAGATTGATGCGTAGCGTCGCTCCTTGACGGTACACACGGCTCTGAACAGTTTGTCGGAGAACTCGAGCTGGTAGCTGGGCAGCGGCAGGCCGTGGCGCACGCTCCACGCGTGCAGCAGCGTCTTGGGCAGCTGCTCCGGCTGGCGGGCGCAGAGGGTGGTCACTTGTCGGTATAGGCATCTATAAGTAACTACTTCGTCTGGCTCAGGGTTACAGTGACAGTGACAGGATCAGAAGAAAATACAGCTGCTATTCATTTTACTCGACCAAGTGCATTTCGCACGATGTACAAAGTATACAAATTATCGCTCCACATTATGTACCATGTCGAAATACGAGTTAAGTATACAATTTGACAGCGAATCGGCATTTTTTCTCAATCCAAATCGGTTAACTTTACTTGTCTCGAAGCATTAAGTGATGCTGTGAGATAAACCTCACAAACATTTGAGAAACTTCAGACGAAATCTGATCCACTGACCGTGTAGTGGCCCCGCACGAAGGCTCGGTGTCCGGGCTCCACACCGTCGTCGAGCCGCGGCCGTTTGGACAGCGGCCTGCCGTCGGGGCTGGTCGGGGGTCCGATCGCCGCGCGACAGGCGCCACCCAGACCCCAGATGGCACTGGGGTGGGCGGGGCCGGTCGGGTCAGAACAGAGGGCACTGGTGGGGTGGTGTAGCCAGACCCAGAGTCGACCACGCCAGCTCAGCGCAGAGCAATGGAATGGAGCAATTTGTAAATAAGTGGGTAAATCAATACCGTCAACTTTGAGTGTGAACCGCTTTGTGCCTACCTATGGCACATCTATAGAATAATAATAAACTTTGCAGACTGACAAGCTCCAGATGATATGTGGATCAAGTGCTGTTTTAGACCAACGAATGGTGTATTCGTTGATATGTAGGCATTTGAAAGAACGTAGTAAAATGTTCCGGGGCTTCCTCACGCCCCCGTGTGTAACAGAGTACGATCAGGCGCCATTGTATTGTAACCAATTGTATCGATAAGGTACGAGCACTCCCTCCCCTAACTCGGTCTATATTCTCCCACTCACCATATTTCCTCCAAGGTCTGCGCAGCCAGGAATCGTTTGCCGCGCGGTGTTTCTTGTAGCTCTCGTAGCATCTGTTGTACCGTGTACTTGGCCTGAGTGAACGGGTGATGGTACCTGGAGAAACACAAACGGTTAATGAGCATGGCAACATCTGCTGTAGGTATCATATACTTGGCCTGTGCGAACGGGTGATGGTATCTGGGAAAGGCAAACGGCGAATCTGGTAAACACGCAGAAATAAAAGCAATTTGGAATGCAATGGTAATACGAAGCTGAATTTTTTAATCACCATTTACACCGTGTCCCGTGAGAGCAACACACGTTTTCTTCTACGTCGTTAAGAAAGAATGATGGTTACTACTTACTAGGAATGACAGTTTGGCCCATCATCAATCACCTGACACATAGCCGCCACTGACCGGATACAGAGCTGACACTGACCGGATACAGAGCTGACACTGACTGGATACAGAGCTGACACTGACTGGATACAGAGCTGACGCTAACTGACCTGACACACAGTTCCAGCAGCCGGGTGATGACGGTGTCCATCTCCAGCGGCCCCTGCGGCCGGAATACAGAGAGGTTCCACATGGCGGCGCGGGCCAGCATTACGCCAGAGGTGCCGCAGCGCTCCCGGAACGCCTCCGCGTCTGCACGGCACTGGATGTGGCGAGAGCCGCCGCTGGGGCACGACGGGGTACAGGAGTCAGAACTGGGGAACTACATTGAACTACATAATCGCAGTCACATCGCAGCCCGCATCCCTGGATACTGGAGAGCTTCAAGAGTCACACGATTAAAACAAACTAAGCACTAGATCAGGTTTATACATAATGAAGCCGAAATTGAGATTCGATTAACCCATTGAAAACATAATAGATCGAGTTGATGGGACCTGCCCGGATTATTGCCCCGTCCCGGAGCTCACTTTGCGATGACGGGTATGGTGAGCGCCTCTGCCACTCGCCGGATGGCGTCCTCGTGAACCGGGTGCCGCGGCCGCTCGTGACGCGTACGGCCGTGAACAGTGAGCGCCGCCACGCCACACGACTCCACCATCCGGCAGAAGGAGAGCGTCTCGGCGTCAGAGGCCAGCAGGCGGATCTTACCTGGAAGTAAGCACGGTGTTAGCGATCAGAGGACAGAAAGGAATCTCAGTTGGGCGAATACCAAATCAGTGGCCAGATAACGGATAGTGAAAAGTCGGCGGAGAGCAAAAGTCGACGAGGGGGCAGCGAGGAACACTACGGTAAATAAAGAAAAAAAGGGTCTTCAGATAAATATGAATGATAGCTGTGCAAGATTTAATGACCGGTGTAGATAAAACGGCCGTGGCTATCCAGCAATCCACTCGGAACATAGAAAAAGCGGAGCAAATGGCTATCTGGAACATAGAAAATATCACCTCACGGCTCACAGTCTACTGTAACCACATTCAACACCACCATCTTCGTATCAGCTTTTTCTTGCGATGGCAAAAAGTATGCGTTGTGTCATTGATCAGCCCACCCAGTCCCTCGGAACAGCCGTACTCACAAGTCACCGGCACTCTGACGCCTTTGACGAGCGTCGTCAGAATGTCCTTGACCTTGTCGGGCTGCTGCAGCAGGGCGGCGCCCATGCCGCCCTTGATGGAGAACTCCTTGGGACAGCCCATGTTGATGTCGATGCCGGCCACATCATTCTCACTGCCATCACAGACACCGAGGGAACGCAGGTCATACCACAAGTCACACTGAAGATACATACAATGCACCTGTAATAACACAGCCAGGAATGTCTGTGTATTATAATTATAATACTAGGTACATCTCTCAGATCTTATCAATCAATGTCTGTGTTTGTACTAAATAGGTGCATCTAAACAAACGGACAACATGGGTAATCGGGACGGCTTATCGGGAATTTTGACGATGGAAAATCGCCCGCCATCAATATTTTCAGCAGATAGTAGTCCGGCATTTTGTCAGCCAGATGATTAAAAGGCTTATGGTGTATATTGTGTAGGAGAGAAAATAAGATCACCCAGACCAATAACTGGCGTTTCACATCAGCGCTTTTTTATCACACTTGCTGGAGACGGTTACCCTCGCCCGTATAGGGATGGGGTCGAATGGACCGCCCATCGGTTTTTCGCGAATAACCCGCGTAAAAGCGGCCGATCGCGACGAAACTTTCAGTGCTCTTGAGTCGGTCAATTTTACACCTACCCTGAAAATTTCATGACCCTGACCCAAATGACCTTTGACTTGTGACCTACTTCTCGAGACCATGTTTGGCCGGAATCGCGATTCGGCGTATGTCGGCTCGCATTAGCCGCGTGTTTGCAGTCTTTTCGTGGTTTCAAGCGTTCAAACATGTGACACAATCAGGGGCGTCGCCGACGGGGGGGGGGGGGGTTGGGGGGGTCGTGACCCCCCACTCTTGAAAACTGGGGGTGTCGACCCCCCACTTTTTGCGATGCTGAGTATGCTTTTTTAGCTTTTATGTCAGTGAAGCAGGCGTCAGCAACACCAACAAATACATCAGATTCAAAATCGCTTCAAGAGCTCCCTAAAGCCAATTAGCCAATTACCTAAAGGTCAATTAGCTGTGGGCGGGGAACACCAGCACAACAATGTTTTTAAGTAGGCTTTAAACATCCTAGTATAACTTTGTATCTCTCAAAGGATTGGACGCGCCAAAACTGCCCCGAGTGTTCGTCTGATCGTTTAAAAAAAAAAAATGGTCGCAGTCGATTCGTCGGATCAGTACCCAACTACAAAACTACAAACTAGCCTCAGCCCCATGGCTACCGTCACAACTAGCTGTACAGTGCACATGTAGGGGAAAGGGAGTCAGATGGAACCGTCTCAGGCTTTCGCAAAGAAGTCGCGCAAAAAGGAGCCGATTGCAACAAAACTTCCGGTGCGCTCGAGTTAATCACCTACTTAAAATAAATCGATATCCCTGATTCAAATAAAGATGACCTTAGTTCACTTTTTCATAGCGTGCTTTTCATTGATAGGGTAGTTTTTGGAGCTGATTTTGAACTTAGCGCCCATCTGAACATTTAAGAAGTAGTTGTGTTGCTTATTCATATAACATGCTAGGAAGCAATCGGTGGTGGTCATCCACTATTAGGTACTGGTCGATCTGACCTGACCTGATCTACCCCAAATGCATGGAGTCATCATCTTCGTTCAAAACTAAGATAACATTCGTAATCAGAACCTCGAAAAACCATCACAACTTACATTCGTTAAGTTCTAGCAGGCCCCGAGTTTCTCTACTTATTGGCGATGACCTGAGTCCTGAGATGACCCGAAAACTTGTAAATGGGTATCATCGGCTTTCTCTCGTCACGGGCAGCATGCTCTTTTTTCCGCAAACCTGTAGATCGATCAGGGGTCGAAAGCACGCCTCAGCGTTAGTTTAGTATACGTTATACGTTAGCGACTGGGAAACCACCAATAGAAGCCAGAAGGGCTACAGTGAAGCAGAAAACTATTCGATAGCTCTTTTAACGCTCTTTCGCTAGCTTCGCGTTAGATTTCATCTCAGGTCTATGTTTGGCCCATAAGAAGGCAAACAGCTAACTGGACAGATTCTGCCGAAACATCTGCTTTGCAATAACTTTCGATTCCGTGAATTTGTATGGTATGTACATATGTTGTCTTGTCACCACCGTCTTGATCTCTTTGAGACGCGTCACATGGGCTAAAATTTGACCATTCAGAATTAACGTTAAAGCGACCTCAGGTCAACGCTATGTCCTGATCGAAAAAGGACCTCCTGCTGCATATGAATGGATCCGTGTTGTTGAGCTGAACAGTGAACACTTTCCAGGTGCTGTCATCGCTCTACCGCGTCTTCGTCAAAAGTTGTAGAAAAAAATGCTGGTGGCCATCGATGGACATTTCCACTAATGACCTTTCGAGTCATCACTCGCCATAAGTTGCACCCTGTCCCTGGCAATGATGAGCTGATTTGTCATGGCTCCAAAGATATTTTGCGTTTCTGACGAACTTTTTCAAAGCAGGAGGCATTCGTGCTTTTTCTAATTTCTCATTATTTTCTAATGATGAGGTCACGTATTTGACCTGCCTTCAGATCATAGATGTAAATCCTCAGTTAGAATCATGAATTGCTGACACGTCCTATAACCCCATACATTAGGTACTTATACAGTGTACCAAATTTCGAAGTTATGGGAGAAAAGCTACAAGAATGGCGAGAGGGGAAAGTTTTTATAGAGGTATATCGTATAACTGAACTTGACATGGCGACCTGACCTTAACCCGCGCCCCGTAGGGGGGGGGGCCGAAACGGCCCCCCCCCTGTCCTTTTCGGTCGATATCTCCTAAACGGCTGGAGATATCGCCACCAAACTTTCAGGACCTCTCCGGGCATCAATTTTACACATTGTGACCAAAAATTTTTCCAGAGGCTATGATAGGTTGGCCACAAATGACGTCAGAGTGACGTCATGTTCTGTCATTTTCGACCGAAAAAAGACCTTCGCGAGAAGACCTGTCAGGACTACAGCTTTGAAGATACAGAAAAATGATCAAGACATAAAAGGTGTAGAATTGACAGGGCTACAAAACTGCTATCTCGAATTTTTGAAATTTTTTAGTTTTGACCCCCAAAAATCAAAAAAGCATGTTTTTGGATATATTCGCCAAAAAATCCAAAAAGTTTTTTGAATTTCGAAAAAACCGGAATATATGTGATAGTGCCTACCGTCTTCTATCAACATACCAAATTTCAGATCGATACCTCGTTTTTTGGCCAAGTTATAGCGAAAAAACTGTTCAAAAAAGATGACGTCAAATTTTCAAACTCAATTTTTGGCAATTCTAGAACTCGTAGAGCAAAACGAAGACCACCATTAGACTCCCCGTGACGAGCTGCATCGAATCGATACCCATTTTATGCAAAAATATCAACTTTGAAATTTGACCTAATTTGACCTGACCTTGACCTGACCTTCACAAAAACGTGACCTAGGCTGGCCCCAAAGGCTGCCTAACCCACATAATCGCATTTGTCATGTAAAATGGACCATAAAACATGTATCACACGACACATTCATATTGTGACCCCCGGTGACCTGACCTCGCTGTGACCTGACCTGGTATCAGTGACCTCAGATAGCAAGGTATGTGTTTGACGAACAATGTACCATCGATGGTTTTCAATAAATTACCAATTTACTCGCTTTCACAGCACATTTCTTGAATTGCCTGTGAACGGTGAAAATCTGACCTTTGACCTGACCTGTGACGTCATCGGTTTGACCTAGGTCAATGAAATTTGGTCACAAGGTAGTTCCCGGGTGGGGCTATCGAACGCCGTTTGAATTTTGAAAATCGGCCGGTAACTTTCCGAGATCTTAGGGGGGGGGCCGAAACGCCCCCCCCCCCCCTACGGGTGGTAGGGTCCGCCGGTAGCCCTACGGGGCGCGGGTTAAGTGACCAGTGATAATTTTTACGCAAGTGATGTAGGTAGGTATACCTACCTAATAGGTTATATTAAATTTGGCGGCGCTGCGCGCCGATTTGTTACACAGGCATACACACACATACGCACGCACAAAACTGGGAAGTGTGGCAAAGAAAAACACCCCTACCCATCGGGTGAAGACTAGAAACCCGACCCCCCCACTCAAAAATCCGTGGCGACGCCCCTGGACACAATGTTGGTCCCATGCATTAGGGTGGGTGTCAAGGTCACCTGAAGGTCAGGTCAGGTCATTGGCTTTGATGACCTCAGCTCACATTTTGGAGTTTTACATGTTTCTAGTCTAGTTTTTGAAGCTGAATTCAAATTTAGTAACCATTTGAACATTAACGAAGTAGTTTTAGTGTCTTCGTAACATGTTACGAAGCTGTCAGAGGCAGCTGACACGTACTACGAATACCCGGCAGGACCCCTACTGGTTGACCTGACCTGACCTGACCCTACCTAGCCTGAATGCGTGAATATATCATCTGTGATCAAAACTAACACGATATTCGTGATCAGCACTCCGAAAAATCAGATAGCAGCCACACTTTACGACGTTCTAACAGGTCGCGATTTTCCCGACTTTTGGGTCATTGATCTGACCTGGAGGGTCAACTAATGACCTAGGAGTTAGGACCTAAAAATTGGGTATCATCGGCTTCCTCACGTCACGGGCAACATACTCGTTTTTTTTCGCGAAGCTCTAGATCGATCAGGGGTCTAACAACGGGGGGGGGGGGGTTACAACAGACCCCCCCCCCCCATTATACGTTCGCTGCTGGCGAAACACCAACACGGCCGAGAGTTAAAATAACAGGAAATTGTTGTCATTATATCGGTAAAGGACTCTGATCTACCAATTCTTAATCACAAAAAAGCTGAACACTTTACTCAATTCGCACTTCCACAAGATCAATGATAGATACCTAACTCATAAACTTATCTATCAAATCAATTCTACACTTAGTTCCTGGCACGTAAATGTCCCAGTCAACCCAGACCTGTCTGTTCTTAGTTCAGACAGGGCCCAAGCCCGCTTGCTTATCCCTGCCCAGGCGCAGACACCACAGTGACTCACAATTTGCGGCCCACCTGGAGGGCTCGCTCTGCGTCACATGTGCCCATCTGGAGCACCACTTGGGAGCGTTCCTCTTCGCAGGTGCGCAGGATGACAGTGCCGTCCGCTGGGTCCACATAGTCCACAGTCCCCAATGACTCTGTCAGATACAGACAAGGGAAATGGTCATACTGATACAGTGGAAAGCCATGTCAGTAGTCCTGTCACACTATCTCCAGCCAGGAAGTGTGATGCCTGCTTTGCACCCAAAGCCATGTCATGTGGTATGTAGAGTGTAGACAGTCAGTTACAGTGCTCACGTTAAAGGGACTATCCCACCTTTAACATGGGGTTTGAGTTGAGATAGCCAAGTTTGTGGCGAGGTTCAGAAACCACTATCTATCTAGGTTGCAACCCCCGCGGCCTCTTGGTGTTGAAGAAATTCGTTCCCTTCATTTGAAAATGGGCCTTGTACAAGGCCCTATCTTCAACATGGAGCGACCGCTAGTGTGACGTCACCTCGTTTAGTCATTCTGATTTAAATGTGTTTGTTCGTTGAAAAATCGCTTAAAACTTGGTCTGAACTTTGTTGTGGTGCCTACAGAGTAAAAAGAATCAGCTTTATGACAGTAATGTGGCCTGGGGAACTGGTAATTTTGGGCTGTGACGTCACATATTTGAAAGTTTGTGTTTGGAATATGGGAAGCCTAAGATGTTTAATGAAAAATAAATGCCAGAACCGTGTTCCTGGTCATCCAATCTATAAAGTCGGGCACAATTTAACTGGTTTTAACAACATTTTAGAAGGTGGGATAGTCCCTTTAACCACCAGACTCCTAAAAAAGAGCTAATATCAACCCTGACTACAACATTAGTTTTAAGTTAGGTACTGAGAGCAGCTGTGAACAGTTAAAGTCAGTGATGAGGAACTAAACAGCATGCCAAACTTTGGCATTTAAATTGAAATTCCCATTCAATGACTGAAATTTCACAATCAAATGGTAGGGGTGGGGAGGGGCCAGGGGGGCGGGCCTGCACAGCAAACTCTTATTTCACATGGCTCTGGCTTTTAATCCATTTATATAAAATATTCAAGCATACTTGAATATGTTATTGTTTAGCTGGGACATAGTTGAATGATGATAAAGATAATCGTATTTCCAGCTCTTAGTTAATTCGAGAAGCTCTTCAGTATTGCAGCTTCGCAAATAAATGAAGAGCTGGAAGTACGGTTTCTCTATGAGCAAAATATTCAAGCTTAATTTTTAAGGGGAGTGTATACTTACTGTTAACTTGCCTCACAGCTGCCAAAAGCTTCCAGTCCACGAGCTCTTCGGTAAAAACAATATCAGCGCCATATTCCAAGGCCAGAAGGCGAACAGGTAGTGTAGAGACACGAACCATTGGTGCCAGTATGATCTTATTCTTGTAATCCATTGTAATTAATAATACAATGCTTATTATTAGCGATAAAACGCAACGTACCGCGACGACCAACCCCTCCGCGCTCTTCTCTCAAAGGCTTCCAACCAACTTCCAACAACAGCTGCTTGGGTTGTTGATATCAAGATTCTTATAGATAGTTGATATCATATTGTTGATATGAGAGCTGCAAAGTTGTGAAGCGAAGTTCAGCGTGTTCTATTTTATGTCGTCGTCAAGTCATTTGTTTTTCTGCTTTTTTGTGACCATTTTATTTTAGTTTGTCTCTTATCTAGATGACGAAATCAATAGCGCAATGATAGAGTAAAAGCCGAAAAAATCTGCTCAGATGATAAAAGCGAAATATTTGTACACAAAGTGACAAAAAATGCAAAGCAACATAAAAACTGTACCGTCAACGCGAGTCGCGAACGTAACTGTACACGTTGAAACGTAACAACTGCGCTGTTTTCGAAACGTTCGAATATTTTCTATTTTGCTGAAAAGGCACTAAATAAAGGACAACACTATTCGACCGCCACCCTTGCAGCCATTCTATTACTCAGGAACCACTGGACCGATCAGGACGAAGTAAACACCAATCGAATCAGGGTTTAAGCTTTTATCAGCCGTTTCGAAGATGGTGACCTCAGGTGACCTGGGTGACCTCAAATGGTCAACTTAGCGTTGAAGCCTATTGCAGCAATTCTATAACCCAAGAACTACCAGGCCGATCGAGACGAAAAAGTCGATTCAACGTATGCGATTCTATGACCTGTTTCGGATAAGTTGAATATGGTGACCTCAGGTGATCTTGGTGACCTCGGAAGGTCAACTTCACGTTTGGAGCCATTCTATAACTCAGGAACTACCCTGAGCCGATCGAGGCGGAAACACCACTAGTCGATTCAAACATGCGATTTCATCAGCCGTTTCGAATATGGTGACCTCAGCTCAGGTGACCTCGATGACCTTGGGAGGTCACATGACCGTTGTCGCCTATCGCAGCCATTCTATAACTCAGGAACTACTGGGCCGATCGAGTTCGAGACGAAGACGCCACCAGTCGATTCAGCGTATGCGATTTCATCAGTTGTTTCGAATATGGTGACCTCAGGCACGGAATATAGTCTACGACATAGTCGTATATACATATGTCGTAGACTATACCTACATTCCGTGCTTCAGGTAACCTCGGTCACCTTGGGAGGTCACATGACCGTTGACAACGGATAGCCCGCAGGACGCCTGCTGGTTGATCTGACATAGGATCTGACCCTACCTGCCCCACATACGTTAACCCTCGCATGTGTAGGGGGGGGGGGTCGGATAGACCCCCCCATGGTTTTTCGCGAATAACTCGCGTAAAAAGCGGCCGATCGCGACGAAACTTTCAGTACCCTCGCATTGATCAATTTTACACCTACCCTAAAAATTTCATGACCCTGACCCAAATGACCTTTGACCTGTGACCTCTTTTCCGAGACCATGTTTGGCCGGAATCGCGATTTCGCGTATGTCGGCTCGCACTAGCCGCGTGTTTGCAAGCTTTTCGTGGTTTCAAACGTTCAAACATGTGATTTGATGTTACTCCCGTGTGTGTCAAGGTCACCTGAAGGTCAGGTCAGGTCATTGACCTTTGGTGACCTCGGGTGACCTCGGGTCACTTTTTCGAGTTTTACATGTTTCTAGGCTAGTTTTTGGAGCTGAATTCGAATTTAGCAACCATTTGAACATTTACGAAGTAGTTTTGGTGACTTCGTAACATGTTACGAAGCTGTCAGAGGCGGTTGACACGTACTACGAATACCCGTCACGACGCCTACTGGTTGACCTGACCTGACCTGACCCGACCTGGTCTAAATGCTTCAAGACATCATCTGTGATCAAAACTAACACGATATTCGTGATCAGCACCCCGAAAACCCCCTCAGCAGCCACACTTTACGACTTTCTAACAGGTCCCGATTTTCCCGACTTTGGGTCATTGACCTGACCTGGAAGGTCAACCAATGACCTAGGACCTTAAAATTGGGTATCATCGGCTTCCTCTCGTCACGGGCAACACGCTCGTTTTTTCCGCGAAGCTCTAGCTCGATCAGGGGCCAAACGGCAAGGGGGGGGGGTCCAACCGACCCCCCCCCCACCCTACACATTAGAAGCTGGCAAACGCCGCACACATGCGAGGGTTAACCCTCGCCCATGTAGGGGGGGGTTGGTGCAACCCCCCCTGAGGTTTTTCGGAAATAGTGCAAAAACGGCGGCGCGCAGCGCCGCCAAATTTTGGGTACCTTATGGGGCAAACCTTGCGCATCTTTTGATAAAAAAATTTGACCGGGTCATGTCAGGTCACGGAGTTATGACGTCACAAAGGGAACAGCCTCCGGCCGGATTTTCACAAACTGAGTGCCAACGCCCGAGGTTTCCTGCCGGTGGTACGGACATCGGTTGATGGATCGTGATGAAACTTCCCATGCATGTTGGGGCAAGTATTGGCTATCATATGGTATAAGAAACTTGACCGGGTCAGGTCAGGTCACGGAGCTATGACGTCACAAGAGGAACAGCGTCCGGTACTATTTTTGAAAAGCGCCCGAACCACTATTTTGCTAATTCTTGTCACCTCAATGGGAATATGCAGCAATATTAGCTTCTGTAGGGAGCAAATGGACCTTCCAAATCCAAAAATACAATCAGATTTCAAAAATTTAAATTTTGATTTTTCGAATTTCTGCCGCCGACTGTGACCTTGCCGACTTCCGGCGCTCCCAACGCGCCATTTTTAGAGCTAGGGAAACGAAATACATACCAAACGATAGAGAATTGATCAAGGAACACGATAGTGAAGGTTTCAAGTCGATATCTCCCACCGTTTTGCCGCAATCGCCGCGGAAAGTTGAAAAAAGTCTATTTTTCCGAAAATTTGACCTTTGACCGGTCAAAAGTAGGTCAAATGTTGACCTAGGACCAAAAAATATACCACCAATCGCGAGATCTCGGCGAGAGCAATCCGTTGGTCTTTTCCGCTAAGCTCTACGACGCTCCGTTTTCAAACGCCAAGGGGGGGGTCGCACCAACCCCCCCCCCCTGCATGGGCGAAGGTGGCAGATCGCCGTTTACGGGCGAGGGTTAATACATCATCTTTGACTTTGATCAAAACTAACATTGAAATTTGTATTCAGCACCCCTCCCCCTCCAAAAAGAAAAAAAACTATAATAAACTCACTTAACGAATTTCTAGCAGGCCCCGATTTTCCTGACTTTTGGGTTATTAATCTGAATTGGAAGGTCAATAATGACCTGAAACCTGTAAGTTGGCCATCATCAGCTTCCTCTCGTCACGGGCGCTCGCAACACGCTCGTTTTTTTTCTCTCTCTCACTCTCTCTCTCTCTCTCTCTCTCTCTCTCTCTCTCTCTCTCTCTCTCTCTCTCTCTCTCTCTCTCTCTCTCTCTCTCTCTCTCTGCGAAGCTCTAGCTCGAACAGGGGTAAAGCGGCTGGAGGGGGTCCAACGGACTTCCCACCATGCGCTAGTCGCTGTAAAAATGTCAATACGGGCGAGGTTGAATAATGAACGCGAATGGAAGGTATCAGGTCCACAGACGCATACACGCATATTCAAACACCTCCACCACTGCTCGACAGCAAGAGTCCGACCGGCCGGGGGGCGGCTGGGTGGATCGGTTCGGACCGGGCGCCACGGGGAAAGTGACACTACCGTGCGGGGGGCGGCGGTCGAGCCGGGACCGGCGACTGTGCCCGCACCAGTCGCCGCAGTGTGCTGAGGGCGGGTGCGGGTGACGGTTCCCCCGACGACAGGACACTCTCCCTGGTCAGGACAGATCAGGACAGCGAGTCTGTTCCGCCGGTGACTGTATAACTGCCCGTGGGCAGCAGAGAGGCGTTGGGCGCAGAACACTGTCGCGGACGGCGGTAACACGAGATAGTGACGACAGGATCACCGGCGTCTGGAGGATCAGCGTCAGCGTCAGAGGACTGAAGGCAGCGCTCAGCAGAGCGACACCAGCGTACTGCCGGAGCTGCCGACCACCGCAGGTAGGTTCCAACCGGCCAGATTGTGATGGACGTTGTGGTCCGATACTCGATGTAACACATCGCGGCGAAGGCGTTTTTACGGTTTTACGTCTGATTCGACCCCTAGGCCTCGAAGGGCACGAGGAAAGCGACATTTGAAAAGCGTGGAAGATCATGATCATGACGAGTGCTTGGATTGTTTTTAGTGTTAGGCTACAGCAGAATGAGGTCACCAGAGGCAAAAAAGCTAAATTTTCCGGCTCATGCATCGAACTTATAGAGCTGGAAGAGTATCTGAAATAAGGATGTGACACTCTTGTAAAGCTATTTCGCTAATGTATCCTGAAGTTTTACCTAAGATCAACATCCAAAATTGTAGGAACTGGCATTTTTGTCGACAATTCATCCCGCAATAATTTCTTACACTTATGTACTATGTAGCTTGTATGAACAATATCAACTTTACCAGCATCGTGCACTCCTACCCCTCGTCGGCTTGTGTCGAATGAGCTGTATTTTGATCTTACGCGGTCCATTTAACCCGCGAGTTGCTGGGGGGGTGGGGGGCGTTAAACGCCCCCACTTTTTCGCCGGGCCATAGCATAAAAACGGCGCGGCGCAGGCGCGCCAAATTTTGGTTACCTGTAGGGAATTGATTGAAGTTTAATATAAAAAAGTTTCAAAAAAATTGGTCCGAAAATTTTGAGATATCGAGGTTTTAGTGACGTCATGATTTCTGAGTTTTCGACCAAAAATGGCATTTGTTCAAAAAATCATATAAAATCACAGAAAAGACATACAGACATGCCGTAAACGCCATTAGACTGCCAATACCATGAACAACCAAATGGTCATCTTCGATTATTGATTATCGTTCCGCATTTTCCAAAATCTTGAACTGAATCTTGGTAATTTCTCGTGACTTCTTCACGACCATGATACATGCATTTTTTAAATTGAACTTTTTGAGCCAAACACGTACACATATGATAAAATGAATGTCACCATCGTCTTCTACGCCCCAAATTACCTATAAGACATGTGTCACAGGCTGCGAATATCAGTTTAGATTTTCGGGGATCGGGGTTGACCTGACCTTGACCCTGACCTATGCTTGACTGACCCCTACATGGAGCTGACACTCTTGTAGGCCTTATATGATGGACTGCGCACCGTTTTGACAGAGTTTATGACGAGAGGCGCCCATTTCGAAGTCCTGAAGTCCATGCTACTGAAAGCCCGATTTCAGGTGTTTGACCTGACCTTGACCCGACCTGTGACCTCAAAATTCAACTTTAATGTACTCATCTGAAGCGTCTCGTCGCGTTCTTTCGTTTGCCGCCTCGTGCGTTTCGCTGCGGTTATTGGTTCTCGAGTTATCGGCTGGGGGCGTTTAACGCCTCCCCCCCAGCAAACGGTGGGTGGCGAAATACCCCAGCAGCTGCCGGGATAAGAAATTTACCCAAGGTTAGACTGATCAAAATAGGCCATGCTGCATAGGTATTACCGATTATTATTGTAGTGGCCTGAACTCATTCATCTCTTTAGCATGCCACTATTAAAAGTTATCCTCGAAACACCGTTGATGACCTTTTACTGCCTAGCGTGATCGTTCCGTAAAAAGTCCCGTGTGTTTACTTATGCCCAAATATGAGACTGCTAGTATAAAAATAGGTGACTGTCGTGCAATAGTCATACACCGGTTCGCCGAAGAGGTTGCGCTTTTTTACATGTAAACTTTTGTTTTGTTTCCAAATCATTTAGAAACAAAACAATACTACAGCCCCTCATTTTAATCACTTGTACTTTTCGGGCAATTATTAGCCTTGCGTCATAGTTTCGTCGAAGACATATGACGCCGTCACGTCCTGTCGGCGAGGCGGTCGTTACGCGACGTGACGCGCCGGCCGTTACTAGCGCGAGTCGTGCCGCCATGGTCCGTTTATCCACTGCATTTCACGCCTCGGCTTTATATGAGGAGCTAAAGCCGGTGGCCAGTTACTAGTTAGATGCGGTAACGCAGTGATAGTACACAGTAACGAGTGTGTTGCAGCAACTTCAGAAAGCTGACCATTATGATGTAACTTCGATTCAGATTTAAATGCTGCAATATGTTAGGTGTTCCTGACTTGCTTGTTACGTGCATGTAATATGTACTAGTGGTGTCAATCGGAACTTGAATCTTCGGAATTCCGATTTTGTCCAATGTCCAATTCGGAATTTGGTTGGACAATGACAGCGGGCTTTGGACAACTTTGGACAATCGCTTGCTACACCTCATTTTTTTATAAAGTAATCGTGTTTAACATTGCTTGGCCATTAGAAAGCTCAGTTTTCCATATGATTAACACTTTTGAGCTGGTAGCGATACATTAAAAGCGAATTAAATAACGGTGTTGAGTGTAAACTATTGCGTAGATGTCGGACATCTTTGGACAAATGGCTGGCTTGGACATTTTTGGACGGACAGTCGACGTAAGTATTGGACATTGGACGGACATTAAACATACGTTTTCTGAAATTGACACCACTAATATGTACCTATCCACATTACGATGATTTATCAAATCATGTTGACATGATACACCATGTAACCTCTGACAGAAAGCACGAGATGTCAAAACAAATAACAATGTATAAACAAGAATGGACAGTAATTACCAAGTCAATAATATCTTAACGATCTTCTCCATTGCTATGGCTTGTGTGCGAATTTGTGTGTGTCGATGTGATGGTTAAAGTAAAGATAGACGCGCTCTCGTTTCCAAAACATTCGTTTGAAATAGGCGCTACCAGGAAGGGAGGGAGGCAATGCATGCGACAAAGTGAGGGATATTGTGCAATGTGCAGCATGCCAACTTCACATGATGCTGTGTCTGAAGTCTGTAGAGACATAAAACGCACCGAAATCCCATGGACCGAAACGTGCAACTTTTACCTATCATGTGTTTCGCTAAACCCTTTTCTCTGCTGCATTTTATCAAAAGCGATACCCAAAAATCAGCATTTTATTAAGTTAAGCTTTCTTATTATTTGATGGAGAAAGATTAAAGTTGAAGTTGATACGTAAGGAAAAGCAGTAGCAACATTTTTTAGACTTAATTCTTATTAGCAAAATGACGATTCTAGCATTTTACGGTTTCATTGTGCGGCTCCAGTTTAATGCAGCTATAAATCACGTATAGGTCGCATACATCAATGCCCAAACAAAACATCAACAATCGTAAGATAAAAACTCATTTTCAAAACCTTGCTAGTTCTATCTTCCTCGACAAACGGCTGTGAAATGCATAAACAAGGCCATAAAATGCATAACTGTGAATGCATAAAGCTTCATGATCACTCAGAAAGCAGGCGCACTGCAATTCATAGCTCAATAGCAATCAATGGTGCATCTCCCTCCCTCCCCCCTCTCTCTCTCTCTCTCTCTCTCTCTGTCTCTGTCTCTGTCTGTCTGTTTGTCTGTCTGTCTGTCTGTCTGTCTGTCTGTCTGTCTGTCTGTCTGTCTGTCTGTCTGTCTGTCTGTCTGCTCTCTCTCTCTCTCTCTCTCTCTCTCTCTCTCTCTCTCTCTCTCTCTCTCTCTCTCTCTCTCTCTCTCTCAGCCTCTTCTCATTCGTTCTCTTCGCCAGCATTCAATGCAGATTTTGTGATTTCCCCAGACGTTTGACACCAAGACTGCACACACCGAGTGCCCTCGAAGAACTGCTCGGCTGTGTTGCAAACGGCCGACAACTGCCGGGGGCTCAGATACACCGGTACCGACTTCACAGCAGCGGCAGGCAGCGCCATGAACATGACCCTGTCGGTGACGGTGAGTTTTATACTACCCTTCGACTGACAATTATGAATCAAGTACTGTGAATATGAATTATCTAAACACGTCACCGTTCAAAATCATTGGAGATGTATTGCTTATTGTAGGTAAACCTCGCCGACGGAGGGGGAGGAGGGCGGGTGTCCCTTAGTTTTTTTCGCGATAGGTCCTAACAAGCCGGCGATAAAGAGCTGAAACTTTGCATACCTGACCTTTAATTCAAGCCGCATCTTGTGACGCCAACTGCATTTTCAGGTGAGGTCAGGTCGCTGACCTATGGCGCCATAAGTAAACCTCTGCACGGTCCTCAGATGTCGCAACTTCGCAACGCCATCAGTGCCAGAGGAACTCTATCACAGGGAGATGAAGCTTACCTACAGGACTTAGCATCCTCCGAAGGTCTCACAATTTGTATATCTCAGATTTTTCCTAAAGGTCACATGAGGTCAGGTCAGTCGAGTCACGTGACCTCACAATTATAAGTCAATGGGTAAAATGAAAACTGCTACCTATTTTGGCACCGAGAACGATCTCAAGCTATCTAAAGCACACGGAATCGTGATTTCATGCACTCCTTGCAAGTTCAGATGCTTTACTTTTGCATTTTTGACCTTTGACGTCACTAGGGTCATAAGAGTTTTTCGTCAATAACACCCGATCTAATTGAGTAAGCGAATCAGGAAAGCCACTAATGGACTCAGGAAGACCTGCCAAACCGAATGGTATGCAATATAACATCCTCCGACCAGCTCCGTGACCTGGGGGCTCTGACCTGACCTTGAACCGAGGTCAACACCTTAACTTGACCCCACCCGTCAAAAAGGTCTGAGCAAGGCGGACACGATGCCGATGGTGCCAAGATTATGGCTCTGCGGCCGTTTTTTGCGAAGTTGTTTATGAAAAACCAAACCCGTGCCTTGGACCACTTAACCTAACCTCAGGGGCCACCGGTTGACCCGAGACCTTAAAATCGGATACCATTCGTCGCGTCTCGTAACGGCTAAGGGTAGCGCTTTATCACGGTCATTGTGTGCCGGTGTTGACGTGTGTAGTGTAAGCTGCTATGGTGTTATAGATAACACGACAAACACTTCTCCACTACAATGAAGAATAGGGGTGCGGAGATACAGTCCTAACCAGGCTTTCACTTTTGACCTCAATCAAAGACGATGCATAGTTCCGCAAGCATGTGCGACCTCCATTTTCCCCAAGGCTCACAACTGAACAGATCCCGACGTCTGATGGGTAAAATAACAATCAGGAAACACCCAGATGCCCAACTGCACAGACGATATCACCCAATAGGAACTGTACCAGGTGTATCAGGACCTCCGACGCTATCACTGTCCGGTTCCACTTTCGCCCCGGGGCGGTAGATGTTGACGGTCGTCGGTGCTCAGTGCGTGGTCCACCCGGGGCCAATACTCGTACATACCTACAGAATGCAGATGCGGTCCGCCCGCCCCGCGCTTCGCTCCGGTGCACGCCAGTGTCTGATAGCAGGGTCAAGATTCTGGTCACCGGATGTCACTGCACGGTAAGCGGCGCACCACGAAAGCGCGGGGTGCGATATGGCTCTCAGTTTTCCGCCACCGCTCACCTGCGTCAAGAGCCGGCGCCAGCCTGAGTCAGAGCTCAGCATTGAACACATTTTTTCTTCACCCTTCTCCAAGGGCAGTATAAATTATAATCCCATCCCCTTATCTCCCGCAGTTTGTGCTGGCGGCTGTGGTGAGCGGCGCGGCGGCCATCTTCCCTCTGACGGGGTTCGGCGGCTGCGACCAGGAGGTGACGGAGGTGCGGGCCGGCCGTGCCGTCCACCTCAGCTCGGAGAACTACCCCCGACCGTACCCGCGCGGTGCCTGCCAGCGCCGCCTGCTGCGGCCCGACTCCGCTGATACAGCTGTCTCGCTGGTCTGCACCGACATAGACCTAGACTCTGTGGTGCTCCCCTGGGTGCACTGGCGCGTCTGGGGTGACTTCCTCGAGCTGCCCGGCCGGGGTATGCTGTACGGCCGCCAGTGGTTTCAATGTGACACGGCGCCTCTGTTGCTGGACGCTCCGCCGGGGGCCGAGGTGCCGCTCGAGTTCTCGGCAAACTATCTGCTCCAGCACAGAGGGTTCAACTGTGTGGCCCGCGGTCTGTCCAAGGAGCGGAGGAACAGCCGGCGGCGGGCGGCCCGGCTGCACAGAGAGCTGACAGGTCAGTGGCAGGGGTAACAGGTCAGAGACAGGTCAGAGGCAGGGGTGACAGGTCAATGACAAAGGGGAATATTTGTTTCTGGTCCCTAAAAAGCTGTTTCTGGCACCTAATTGCTGATCAGCCCCAAAATGCTTATTCGACCCTAATATCTGAATCTGGCACCTAATTGCTTTCACACAGCCTAAAGTTGCCAGATCGTCTAGTCAGTGGCGTATCCAGGATCTTGAAAAGGGGGAGGCCAAACCTGCTCAAGGGGCCCCACCCTTACCTTAGGGGCCCCAGTGGTAGCATACTTAAACCACGCACAGGTGCGGTTTTTTGCCACTTTCGCTATGTGAGGGAGCCCTTAGGCACACTTGGCAATCTAAAAACTCTGAAGGCTCATTTTGGCCTCTGAAAGCCCCTCTTCGGCGACAGAGTGAACGACTCTGGCCTCAGCCGGCCACATAATGTTCAGCAACAGAGTGAACGACTCTGGCCTGAGCCGGCCCTATAATGGCCTCAGGAGACCCATGCTATTGCTGACCTCCCAGGGCCCCACGCTGGCTCTTTGGAGCCTTTGAGTCAGTCTGATGGCCCTATGCCGCTCTCGAAGCCACGCCGGTCTCCAGAAGCCCATGCTGCCCTCTGAGGGTTCCGCGCTGGCTTCAAAGGGCCATTCATACCTCAGGGAACTCAAACATGCAGAAGATCTGAAGTATGGCTGCCGAGGCCCTCAAAGTGGCCTCTAATGGCCCGATGCCAGCCTATGAAGGCCCCGTGCTGGCTTCTGAGGGCCCAGCACCAGCGTCTGAAGTCAGATGACAGCTGGCCCCACGCTGGCCTCAGAGGGTTCACGCTGGTCACAGAGGGCCTCACACTGGCCTCAGAGGGCTCCACATTGTCTTCAGAGGGTCCAAAACTGGTCTCAGTGGTCAGTGGGCCTCAAACTGACTTCAGAAGGCCCCACGCCGCTGGGCTTAGAAGACCCCAAGCTGGACATAGACAGCCCCACACTGAACATGAGGGCCCCACACTGTCCTAAGAAAGCCCAACAATGGACTTAGATGGCCCCACGCTGGCCTTAGAGGGCTGCACGCTGGCTCCTTAGGGTTCCAACTTCCACGCCAGCGTCAATGGGTCCCACGCCCAAGTCTAAGCTTCTGTAGGACCGCCGAAGCGGCCTCTGAGGGCCCCCACGCTAGCTCTGGCTCGGCCTCAGCCTCTGAGGGCCCTGAGACGGCCTATGAGGGCCCTACGCCGGCCTCTGACTTCTGAGGGTCATCAAACGGCAAATTGAAGATAGTTTGACGTAGTTGACTTTATTTAATGACTTAATGATGTAATGACTTTATTTAAGTTTGGGCCAGTACTTCGGATAAGGCCCTGAAGGTCGTTTCTCTTGGGACACCCAAGCATGCACGTACCCAGGATTTCGTCCAGGAGGGGACAACCTGCTCTCGAAGGGGCCCCGGGTTACCTGGGGGGGGGGGGGGCGGGCACTGTCAACCCAGGCAGGGACGTATCCAGAACATTTTGATGGGGGGATTGGGCACGGTGGGTCCGGTCCCCCTTGCGGACGGGCCCCTCTATCTGTCTGTCTGTCTCACTGTCTGCCTGCCTGTCTGTCTGTCTAAGCCCTGAAAAAATGTGGAAAATTGGCAGATAAAAGTATCATTTTGCCTGAGAAATGTGCATAAAATGCACGGTCTTTTATGAAGAAGCGAAGCGAGTGAGCCCCTCAGAGTCGCCGATGTTGGTCCCTCAGACGTGTCTGTGAAAGGCCGTCAAATGCGCTGGTGTGGGGTCCACACAGGCGCCGTTGTGGGGGTCTTAGGCTTAGAGACGCTGGTAGGGGCCGTCATAGGCATGTATGGGGCCCTGAAAGTTACTAGTGGCCCTTCATAGGCCGGCAAGGGAACCTCAGATGCCGGTAAGAGGCCCTCAGAGTCGCCGGTAAATGGCCGTTAGATGCGCTGGTATAGGGCCCCCGGAGGCGCCGGTGAGCGGGCCTTCAGAGCCGCCGATGTAAGCCGCTAAGAGGCACTGGTGTGGGGACCTTAGAGGTGGCGGTGAGGGCCCTCCCAGGCGCCATTGTGAGGGCCCTCAGAAACACTGGTGTGGGCCGTGGGGCATAACAAACAGGTGTGGGGCCCTTAACCCTCGCCCGTAAACGGCGATCTGCCACCTTCGCCCATGCAGGGGGGGGGGGTTGGTGCGACCCCCCCCTTGGCGTTTGAAAACGGAGCGTCGTAGAGCTTAGCGGAAAAGACCAACGGATTGCTCTCGCCGAGATCTCGCGATTGGTGGTATATTTTTTGGTCCTAGGTCAACATTTGACCTACTTTTGACCTGTCAAAGGTCAAATTTTCGGAAAAATAGACTTTTTTCAACTTTCCGCGGCGATTACGGCAAAACGGTGGGAGATATCGACTTGAAACCTTCACTATCGTGTTCCTTGATCAATTCTCTATCGTTTGGTATGTATTTCGTTTCCCTAGCTCTAAAAATGGCGCGTTGGGAGCGCCGGAAGTCGGCAAGGTCACAGTCGGCGGCAGAAATTCGAAAAATCAAAATTTAAATTTTTGAAATCTGATTGTATTTTTGGATTTGGAAGGTCCATTTGCTCCCTATAGAAGCTAATATTGCTGCATATTCCCATTGAGGTGACAAGAATTAGCAAAATAGTGGTTCGGGCGCTTTTCAAAAATAGTACCGGACGCTGTTCCTCTTGTGACGTCATAGCTCCGTGACCTGACCTGACCCGGTCAAGTTTCTTATACCATATGATAGCCAATACTTGCCCCAACATGCATGGGAAGTTTCATCACGATCCATCAACCGATGTCCATACCACCGGCAGGAAACCTCGGGCGTTGGCACTCAGTTTGTGAAAATCCGGCCGGAGGCTGTTCCCTTTGTGACGTCATAACTCCGTGACCTGACATGACCCGGTCAAATTTTTTTTATCAAAAGATGCGCAAGGTTTGCCCCATAAGGTACCCAAAATTTGGCGGCGCTGCGCGCCGCCGTTTTTGCACTATTTTCGAAAAACCTCAGGGGGGGTTGCACCAACCCCCCCCCTACATGGGCGAGGGTTAAAGCTGATCCCTCATTAGCCTTCAAGGACCCCCAGAGGCCGGCAAGGTCCTTCAGAACCTGGGGTGGGGCCCTTCTGGAGATAAGTGTGCCTACATAAGAGCCCATGACGTATTCTCAAAAGCCCCGTGGTGTCCTTTCACTCCCTTCCAGTTGAATCGTGGCCAGCGCGGACCCTCTGATGTCAATTGGCACCGTAGGGCCCCTTCGGGCCCGAGGGGACCCTAAACCATATAACGGACACGTGTCTCCTCGCCCCTGGCTATGCCACTGAATCCAAGTGATCAGGGGCCCTTTAGGTAATCAGGGGCATCTCAGGTGACTGCAGGGGCTTTCCAATTGATCAGGGGCCCACCAGGTTACCATGACCAGGGAACCCTCTGAAAATCAGGTGCCGGTTATACCAGGGGCTCCTCGGGCAACTAAGGGCCTTCATGTGACTGCAGAGGCCCTTCAGATAACCAGGTACTCCCCGGGTAAACATTGGCCCCTCAGGTGACCAGGACTTCTTTAGATGACTGGCCAGGGGCCATCCAGGGGATCAGGGGCCCCTTGGGTAACTAGGGGCCCCTCAGATAACCAGGGGACCCTCAGGTAACCAGAGGCCCCTCGGGTAACCAGGGGTCCTCGTAATCAGGGGTCCTTTACCAGGAGTCCTTCAGATAACCAGGGGTCCTTCAGGTAACCAGGGGCCCCTCAGGTAAACAGGGTCCCGTGACCAGGGGCCCTCAGGTAACCAGGGCCCCTTAGATACCTAACCAGGGGCCCCTCAGGTGACCAGGGGCCCCTCGGGTAGCCAGGGGCCTTAGACAACCAGGAAGCTCTCAGACAGCCAGGGGCCCCTCAGATAACCAGGGGCCCTCAGGTAACTAGGGGCTCGTCACATAACCAGGGGCTCCTCAGGTGACCAGGGGGCCTTCAGGTAACCAGGGGGTCCTCAGGTAGCCAGAGGCTCTCAGGTAGTTAGGGGCGCTCTGTGTTCGTCACTGTGATAGATATCGCTCTTTGATATCAGTTTTTCTTTCGAGTAAGAGACGTTCTGTCTAGTACTGGAATTAAGGCAGGGAGACCCAGGACGCTTTCGTCACGCTGGTCCCCCTGAGTCATCCTTGGACCTCAGGGGCCCCCGTGGCCCCCCTTGGGTACGTCACTGCACTCAAGTGACCCAAAGGGTTCACTTGCATGTCTGATCCCAAAGGGGGAGGCCATGGCCTCTTGGCCTCCCCCCTGGATACGCCACTGCGTCTAGTTGAACTCCGTATTTGCTGTTTGCTGATTCAGCACCAAAACCAAAACATCCAGCACCTATTTTATTCCACGTTTGCCTACCTAATTCGCGTAATCTCCCTGATTTTATGTATCCTAACAACATGAACGTTGCATTCGGTGATGTCAAGTGCCATTTTCGCCAGTGGAGATAATGATTAATGCCATTTCTAGCCAAAAGAGAATCACTAGCCAGCTATGGTGCAGCATAGCAAGACGCTCCTATACCAGCCCGCTATGTAGAGACTAGAGATTATTGCACCCTCAGCCATTTTAACGTGAAAAGTTTGGATCCGTCACTTCCAGCCAGGCTCTCAGGTCATAAACTGGAGTAAAGCAAAATGTCAACTCTGAACAGACATGCCACGCAACCGGCCCTCTTTTCAATATTATTAGCTTTCTGCAATCATCGTCTGACTCCATCTCGATCAAACGCAGCATCCGGTTTCTACAGGGGCGTTTGACTGACCGGCCACACAATAACCAAAAACAAAATCAAAGCTTCATGCACACATATGACATAAGTAAGAAACGGATGAAAAAGGCACAACCACCGCACAACTCTGCGCGGCAAACAACGGACAATGTCCCACGCAAGATCCCGCGTTTCTTCAGCGGCTTTGAACGGAATGAAAACATTACATTTCTTTTTTGGA